TAGTAAGATACTTTAAGGGCATTTTAGTTGTATCTTGAGGGGGCACTTTACTGTTCGAGGGGGCACATTTATGGCTGCAAAAGGGGCACTTGGGAAAATCTGGGGGGGGGGGGAAAGCCCCCCCGGTTCCGCCGCCCCTGCCACTGGATCCAAGTAGGAGGACACACCCCTCTACGACCACCAATGGAGGCCTTGTGAACACATCTTGTTACCACCAGTGTAAACCATCATCAGATGAAGGCATATCAAGCCAAAGATGAACCCTCTACATACCATCATCTCCCACCGGACTGGAGTCCAGTGTTAAAATGACTGCACATCAAGGGGGCTGATCTTGACAAGCATCATGGCCCAACTCTGATATTTTCTTTTAATTTCACAAGGGAAGATATCAAAACATGCTGGGTCTCTCTCTATTGCATCAGTGTCACTCACTTCTGCTTAGTGTGTCAATCAATGACAGGAAAAGCAACAATCATTCGAGTCATCTTTGACCATGAAAGAATCTCAATAATGATAACTGACATGTGGTTACCAGAAGTTGTTGTTTTGTTTCATTAACTTGAAGACTCCGTCAAATAGAGATTTGAAGGAGCCATCAATATGCAAGTAGGCCACGCTGTATTGAACCTTGTTATCAGAGGCAAGATTGGTGTAACTTATCGCCAAAAGTGAAAGTCAGTCAAATCTTAATTTCAGGTATATCACGCCCAGTCAAAAGTGATGGATACCCAGTCAGACTTTGCAGCGCGTTTTACAAGCCATGAGATGGAACATTGCCACAAACATTTCCTTTGAGTAGCTTGTGACATAACTTGAAAATGGATGTCTTGTGATTGACTTGTGATAACTTGGGGTGACTTGTTGCTGACTTCATTCAAACTTAATACAGAGCTCAAGTTATCATCAGAGAAGAGCAAAACCAGTAATAAAATTTCAATCTTTAATTCTGAGAGGGTGCATCTACCGGGTAATTTATTTCAATATTCAATTGCCAATCAATTTGCTACACCACAATTTCAACGTCTTGTATGCAAGCATTATGTTATTATAATTAAATAAGAAGAATACAATGCAAGATAACATAAAATAGACTAAGACAGAAAATAAGACAAACCTATGACCGCATGGACAAAATGGTCAGCAAAAGCGAAAAAAAAATCACTATGGTCATCAGACCTGCTGACACACATGTAACGCTATATTTTGAAAGAATATTTTACATCCTTTCTGCTTGATGTTGTTTGAGTTAAAAGTTTGCCTCTTTTCTAGGACAAATCAAATTCCATATCAGACTTTTATTCTATAAGTAATTTAGAAAAAAAAAGCTTAAGCAGTAAACTCTTGTTGGTATTTTTCACTTTACGCACTTAGCTTCACTATACATAAAAATAACACTTAGCAGCATTCTCATTGTTTTGTCATTTAAATTTGTTTGGTATTTTAACTAAGTTTACATGTATTTTTCTTTCTACTGTGCGCCTTGAACCTTCTGAGCTTGGGATTTTTTGGTAGAGTGTTGTGAATTTGACTTTGCGTTTTTGAGGTGATGCGTTCAATTCCTGTAATGGTCAGTGTCTTTTATTGCTATAAAGAGTTCTTTTTTCCATCCTGTATATTGAACAGGGAAGCTATATTTGACAGATTGAGGCTTTTGTTCTCATCATTGCGGGTTCGAATCTCTACTAAGTAGGCAAATTACATGGTGTCCATTTTTGATTGCCAGTCTATAATTACTTGTTGCTGATTAAAAGTGCAGCTGTGGTGCAGATTGGTTGCATATTGCAGGGAGTTGACTATCACAGCGCACATCATTCCATTTCCCTTCTTGATCTACCCACACCATGGCACAGTGCTCAATACCACTCCAGTTATCAGGTTGCGGCCCCCACTGTGGACTAGTCCACCAATTCCTGAACTCGGCCTCATCATTCTCACACTTCCAAGTACCTATTGTAAAAAAACAGAACGGAAATAAATACAGAGGTGGGAATTGCCAAGTACCGGTATGATTCTTCAAAACAAACAAGCTCACAATGTTCTGGTATTAATTTGTTGATATTTTGTAAATTCAAAATTTCAACCAACCTTCTTCCTGGAGATCATTGCAGTTTATCCAAAAGTTGGATTGCTGTAGCTGGAGCAGGAAATCAGTTTCCTCCTGAGACTGTGGAACGACCAAGACACTTCCCATCTTGATGCACTCATCTTTTGCCTCAGACCATGTCAGGCGCTCAGTGATGGCTTTGTAGCATTTGCGTCCCCACTGGTACCAAGTGGGAGGACATGCCCATCCATGCCCCATGGAGGCCTTACACATCTCGTTACCACCAGAGCAACCCATCATCAGATGAAGGCTTATCAAGCCAAAGATGAACCGTTTAGACACCACCATCTCTCATGCCTTACTCCACTGGTGTCTGGTACTGCAATGAAGTAACTGCATTTCATGTTGAATCATTCTGTAAAGAATTCAGCCTCCAATATTTTCTTTTAATTAAGAGAGTGAAGATACCAAAATAAGTTGGAAGCCCGGCCTTTGTATCACGGACAATATGAACTGGTGCAGTATATTGATCAGAGGTAGTACAAATAAAAACAACCATTACGACTCCTGTTCCCATTTCTGTAACAATGAGTCAACACAAAATTATGAGAATGGACCCTAAATGCATTGAATGGTATGCAGAGATTCTGGGTGATTCATTAACTTGAAGATGATTTTGACTTATTTGTACAAGTTTAGTAAAAAACAGGGAACTCAAAGGGCGCCCTCTATTTCTTAAAGAAGATCTACATGAAGCACTCAGATCTAGGATGTGAAAGCCTAATTCTCTTAGTAAAAGAATAAATTAACCCCTCAAACAAAAACCATTTAAAATTCCGTTGTCATGGTTTCCAAAAACCACCCCTATTTTCACACTTGAGAATTATTTGGAAACAACGAAAATGGAAGTAGCCCACATCCGGCTGAGGAACCCCCTCACAAACATGACCAAAACAGAACTATCAACCATTCCTTAACTCAAAACCAATCCGCAGATTGACATCAAACCTTATGACAAAGGCCAAGATCATGAACCGCGAGGACTATCTGCCAGTCGGTTTCAAACATACCATCATCTCCCACTCTCTGTTATTTTCTTTTAATTTCACAAGGGAAGATATCAAAACATGCTGGGTCTCTTTCTGTTGTATCGGTGCCACTCACTTCTGCTTAGTGTGTCAATCAATGACAGGAAAAGCAACAATCATTTGAGTCATCTTTGACCATGACAGAATCTCAATAATGATAACTGACATGTGGTTACCAGAAGTTGTTGTTTTGTTTCATTAACTCGAAGACTCCATCAAGTAGAGATTTGAAGGAGCCATCAATATGCAAGTAGGCCACGCTGTATTGAACCTTGTTATCAGAGGCAAGATTGGTGCAACTTATCGCCAAAAGTGAAAGTCAGTCAAAAACTTAATTTCAGGTATATCACGCCCAGTCAAAAGTGATGGATACCCAGTCAGACTTTGCAGCGCGTTTTACAAGCCATGAGATGGAACATTGCAACAAACATTTCCTTTGAGTAGCTTGTGTCACAACTTGAAAATGGATGTCTTGTGATTGACTTGTGATAACTTGGGATGACTTGTTGCTGACTTCATTCAAACTTAATACAAAGCTCAAGTTTTCATCAGAGAAGAGCAAAACCAATAATAAAATTTCAATCTTTAATTCTGAGAGGGTGCATCTACATGTACCGGGTAATTTATTTCAATATCCAATTGCCAATCAATTTGCTACACCACAATTTCAACGTCTTGTATGCAAGCATTATGTTATTATAATTAAATAAGAAGAATACAATGCAAGATAACATAAAATAGACTAACACAGAAAATAAGACAAACCTATGACCGCATGGACAAAATGGTCAGCAAAAGCGAAAAAACTCACTATGGTCATCAGACCTGCTGACACACATGTAACGCTATATTTTGAAAGAATTGTTTACATCCTTTCTGCTTGATGTTGTTTGAGTTAAAAGTTCGCCTCTTTTCTAAGACAAATCAAATTCTATATCAGAATGTTATTCTTCAAATAATTTAGAAGAAAAGCATTAGCAGTAAACTCTTGTTGGTATTTTTCACTTTACGCACTTAGCTTCACTAAACATAAATATAACACTGAGCAGCATTCTCATTGTTTTGTCATTTAAATTTGTTTGGTATTTTTACCAAGTTTACATGTATTTTTCTTTCTACTTGTGTGCCTTGAACCTTCTGAGCTCGGAATTTTTTGGTATTGTGTTGTGAATTTGACTTTGCTTTTTGAGGTGATGCGTTCGATTCCTGTAATAGTCAGTGTCTTTTATTGCCATAAAGAGTTCTTTTTTCCATCCTGTATATTGAACAGGGAAGCTATATTTGACAGATTGAGTCTTTTGTTCTCATCATTGCGGGTTCGAATCTCTACTAAGTAGGCAAATTACATGGTGTCCATTTTTGATTGCCAGTCTATAATTACTTGTTGCTGATTAAAAGTGCAGCTGTGGTGCAGGTTGGATGCATATTGCAGGGCGTTGAAGATCACAGTGTGCATCATTCCATTTCCCTTCTTGATGTACCCACACCTCGGCACAGTGCTCACCATCCCAGTTATCAGGTTGTGGATTCTCTGGACCAGTCGACCAATTCCTGAACTCAACCTCATCGTTCTCACACTTCCAAGTACCTATTGAACAAAATAACAGAATGGAAATAAATACAGAGGTGGGAATTCCCAAACAACCATTCTTCAAAACAAACAAGCTCACAATGTTCTGGTATTAATTTGTTGATATTTTGTAAATTCAAAATTTCAACCGACCTTCTTCCTGGAGATCATTGCAGTTTATCCAAAAGTGGGATTGCTGTAGCTGGAGCAGGAACTCAGTTTCCTCCTGAGACTGTGGCACAACCAAGACACTTCCCATCTTGATGCACTCATCTTTTGCCTCCCACCATGTCAGGGGCTCAGTGATGGCTTTGTAGCATTTACCACCCCACTGGATCCAAGTAGGAGGACACGCCCCTCTACGACCACCAATGGAGGCCTTACACATCTCGTTACCACCAGAGCAACCCATCATCAGATGAAGGCTCATCAAGCCAAAGATGAACCCTCTAGACACCATTATCTCTCAGGCCTTACTCAACTGGTGTCTGGTTCTGCAATGAAGTTACTGCATTTCACGTTGAATCATTTTGTTGAGAATTGAGCGTCAGATATTTTCTTTTAATTAAGAGAGTGAAGATACCAAAACAAGTTGGAAGCTCGGCCTTTGTATTAAGGACAATATGAACTGGTGCAGTATATTGATCAGAGGTAGTACAAATAAAAGCAGCCATTGCGACTCCTGTCCCCATTTCTGTAACAATGAGACAACTCAAATTATAAGAATGGACCCTGAATGCATTGAATAATATGCAGAGGTTCTGGGTGTTTCATTAACTCGAAGATGATTTGATTTCTGTGTATGTATTGAATAGAGACGCGAGACGTGAGATTGTAACTGGGCCAAGTAGAGCTGAACCACTTTGTCACTCATTTCTACCAAATCTCAATGAAAAATCATCCAAAAAGCTGTGGTCTGACATGTTTGAAAGGAAGAACCATGTATGCATGAAAGACATCTGAATCTAAATATTACAAAATGATTTGAAACATATTGCAGACAAAGTCTCTTTTCACCAATTTATTAGATTGCAACACACAGAAATCCTCTTTTTCATTATGTATCAAAGTTCTAGCGGCTGGTTTCAGTATGTCCTTTACACCATCTGATCACTGACAATTTGATTTATTTCAGTTGTTTGGTGTTGATGTTCACATTTATATCTTTTACAGCATCATTTTAGGCCTATACTCTCTGACTTCAACGACATGGTTTCTTCATCACATAACGTTAAATTTGACATAACAGTGGTAAGGAACAATTCTATATCTTAGGTTTCATTTTCTGTGTAGAAGAACTTCAAACAGGAAAACTATATTGTGCTATTTATACTGTTGACTACCCGGTAGTTCATCCACTATTATTTCAGCTTCACATTTAAATCATCTATAAACAGCCTAATAACATCAGTTTATAGCCATGGGCATTGGGATATTGTGAACTTTTAGAAAAATTCTGGATCAGAGCATCATATACTAGTTGGTAGAGTAGCCTGTTTAGTTTTGTGTCACCTAAACTAGGTTTTTTGGAGGAACTAATCAGACCGGCTGACACACATGTAATGCTATAAAGCAAATTTTGTGAGAATTGTCAACTTGATCAAGTAGATTTTTACATCCTTTCTAAATGATCTCTGAAAGAGTTAAAACACTGCCTATTTTCTAGGGCAAGTTACAGTCTGTTTCAGACCTTTATTCTAAAGTGTGTATCAAAACAAAATGCAAACAGAATATAACAGGATGCCAGAAGTAAATTTTTAACCAACTGAGATAACATAGGTATGGTTTGAAAGAAACGCCTTTTCACTTTAAAATGAGACAAACTTAATACAGAGCTCAAGTTATCATCAGAGAAGAGCAAAACCAGTAATAAAATTTCAATCTTTAATTCTGAGAGGGTGCATCTACCGGGTAATTTATTTCAATATTCAATTGCCAATCAATTTGCTACACCACAATTTCAACGTCTTGTATGCAAGCATTATGTTATTATAATTAAATAAGAAGAATACAATGCAAGATAACATAAAATAGACTAACACAGAAAATAAGACAAACATATGACCGCATGGACAAAATGGTCAGCAAAAGCGAAAAAAAAATCACTATGGTCATCAGACCTGCTGACACACATGTAACGCTATATTTTGAAAGAATATTTTACATCCTTTCTGCTTGATGTTGTTGAGTTAAAAGTTTGCCTCTTTTCTAGGACAAATCAAATTCCATATCAGACTTTTATTCTATAAGTAATTAAGAAAAAAAAAGCTTAAGCAGTAAACTCTTGTTGGTATTTGTTACTTTACGCACTTAGCTTCACTATACATAAAAATAACAATTAGCAGCATTCTCATTGTTTTGTCATTTAAATTTGTTTGGTATTTTAACCAAGTTTACATGTATTTTTCTTTCTACTGTGTGCCTTGAACCTTCTGAGCTTGGAATTTTTTGGTAGAGTGTTGTGAATTTGACTTTGCGTTTTTGAGGTGATGCGTTCGGTTCCTGTAATAGTCAGTGTCTTTTATTGCTATAAAGAGTTCTTTTTTCCATCCTGTATATTGAACAGGGAAGCTATATTTGACAGATTGAGTCTTTTGTTCTCATCGTTGCGGGTTCGAATCTCTACTAAGTAGGCAAATTACATGGTATCCATTTTTGATTGCCAGTCTATAATTACTTTTTGCTGATTAAAAGTGCAGCTGTGGTGCAGGTTGGTTGCATATTGCAGGGAGTTGACTATCACATCGCACATCATTCCATTTCCCTTCTTGATCTACCCACACCTCGGCACAGTGCTCACCATCCCAGTTATCAGGTTGTGGATACTGTGGACCAGTCGACCAATTCCTGAACTCAACCTCATCATTCTCACACTTCCAAGTACCTATTGAACAAAATAACAGAATGGAAATAAATACGGAGGTGGGAATTCCCAAACAACCGTTCTTCAAAACAAACAAGCTCATAATGTTCTGCTATTAATTTGTTGATATTTTGTAAATTCTAATTTCAACCAACCTTCGTCCTGGAGATCATTGCAGTTTATCCAAAAGTTGGATTGCTGTAGCTGGAGCAGGAAATCAGTTTCCTCCTCAGACTGTGGCACAACCAAGACACTTCCCATCTTGATGCACTCATCTTTTGCCTCAGACCATGTCAGGCGCTCAGTGATGGCTTTGTAGCATTTGCGTCCCCACTGGTTCCAAGTGGGAGGACACGCCCCTCTACGACCACCAATGGAGGCCTTACACATCTCGTTACCACTAGTGCAATTACCCATCATCAGATGAAGGCTTATCAAGCCAAACATGAATCGTGTATTAGGCACCATCATCTCTCACATCTCATGCCACTGATGTCCAGTGGTGAAATGACTGCACCTCAACTTGTAATATTCTTGTAGAGCAATATGTAGATATTTGTTTTTGGTGAATGTAACAAGCGACTGTTAGGCCTACTTGTCCAGTTTCATGTGAAATTTGGAGTTGGACTCTTTCATGTATGAAATCTGGTGCCGGCACGGTTTTATTGGTTGAACCTTCACAATCCTCATGCAGGCATGCACAATGCTACCAGTGAGTCAGTACATCATAGTCCTAAATTCACACTACACCCGTACATTTGCATTCTGAACGACATTACGCAGTATTCCATATTTATAGTTGTTGTTTACCAGAGGGCCTTAGCATTGTGTGGTGTTTTGTTGAACGAAATCATTGGAATTTGTAATTTTTGACTTTTTTTTTTACTCTTGTGGACCGAAAAGTTTAGATTTTTTTTACCGAAAGGGTTATTATTCAGCTCGGTTAACTATCAGCATCCAGACTTCAACCAGTCTTAAACAGAGTGTTTAATACCTTCCAATCACACATTTATTCCTTTATTTAAGGATTCTATACATTTTGCAATTGTACAAGTTGTTAATATGTCGGATATCAGCCTAGGGGAGCTGCAGTTTTCCTGGTCTTTTTTTATTTTTGTATAAAACTCCAAAGAATCCATAAAATTGCTGTAAGTTACAAAATCAAAAAATTAAAATGTGGAAAGGTCATGAAACAGAGAACATTTTTAGCCAAGGGATTTTTAAACAACCAAATCTAAAATACCGGAATATTTTCAAAATATCTTTCTTGCTTCAACTATATTTCTGAGAAGGTGCATATAATTCATTTCAATATCCTATTGCCAATTTATTTGCAAAATCACAATTTCAGCATCCTGTAACCAGGCATTGTGTTATTATTATTATTTTTATCATTTTATATAGTGAATCAAAACAATACAATACAAGATCATGTAATACATGTATAGCGAATAAAAACAATACAATACAAGTTAATAAATTATACATACATGTAACATAGCATAAAATAGACTGATACAGAACTTAAGATAAAACCATATGACTGCAAAGGAACAGCAAAAGCAAAAAAAATCAAAAAAAAAAATCACTATGGTCCTCAGACTGGCTGACACACATGTATATGTAATGCTAGAAAGCCAATTTTGAAAGACTTGTCAACTTGATCAAGTAAATTTTTACATCCTTTCTAAATGGTTTCTAAAAGAAGTAAAACACTGCCTATTTTCTTGGACAAATTACACTTTGTTTCAGACTTTTATTCTATAAGCAATTTAGAAAGATAATAAGCAGTAAACGCTTGTTAGTAGTTTTCACACACAGCACTTGGCAACATCTTGTTAGCAGCATTCCTATTTTTTAGTCATTTCAGTTTGTTTCAGATCACCAAGTGTACATGTATGATTTCAAGTTGTGTGTCTAGAACCATTTGAGCTTGGAATTTTGAGCATTTCTTGTAATGATGGGTCTGATTCCTGATATGGTCACTGTCTTTTATTGCTAGAGTCCTTTTTCCGTCCTGTAACAGGGAAGCTTTATTTATATTTGACAGACTGAGTATTTTATTCTCGTCGTTGTGGGTTCGAATCTCTACTAGGTAGGCAAATTGCATGGTGTCCATTTTTTTTTATTGCCAGTCAGTAATTACTGTTGCTTCTTAAAAGGTACATGTATGAAATCTGGTGCCGGCATGGTTTTATTGGTTGAACCTTCACAATCCTCACACAGGCATGCACAATGCTACCAGTGAGTAAGTACATCATAGTCCTAAATTCACACTACACCGGTACATTTGCATTCTGAACGACATTACGCAGTTTTCCATATAAGTTGTTGTTTACCAGAGGGCCTTAGCATTGTGTGGTGTTTTGTTGAACGAAATCATTGGAATTTGTAATTTTTGCCTTTTTTTTTTACTCTTGTGGACCGAAAAGTTTAGATTTTTTTTACCGAAAGGGTAATTATTCAGCTCGGTTAACTATCAGCATCCAGACTTCAACCGGTCTTAAAAAGAGTGTTTAATACCTTCCAATCACACATTTATTCCTTTATTTAAGGATTCTATACATTTTGCAATTGTACAAGTTGTTAATATGTCGGATATCAGCCTAGGGGAGCTGCAGTTTTCCTGAAGTCTTTTTTTATTATTTGTATAAAACTCCAAAGAATCCATAAAATTGCTGTAAGTTACAAAATCAAAAAATTAAAATGTGGGAACATTTTTAGCCAAGGGATTTTTAAACAACCAAATCTAAAATACCGGAATATTTTCAAAATATCTTTCTTGCTTCAACTTTATTTCTGAGAAGGTGCATCTAATTTATTTCAATATCCAATTGCCAATTTATTTGCAAAATCACAATTTCAGCATCCTGTAACTAGGCATTGTGTTATTATTATTATTTGTTTATCATTTTATATAGTGAATCAAAACAATACAATACAAGATCATGTAATACATGTATAGCGAATAAAAACAATACAATACAAGATAAGAAATTATACATACATGTAACATAGCATAAAATAGACTGATACAGAACTTAAGATAAAACCATATGACTGCAAAGGAACAGCAAAAGCAAAAAAAAATCAAAAAAAAAAAAAATCACTATGGTCCTCAGACTGGCTGACACACATGTATATGTAATGCTAGAAAGCCAATTTTGAAAGACTTGTCAACTTGATCAAGTAAATTTTTACATCCTTTCTAAATGGTTTCTAAAAGAAGTAAAACACTGCCTATTTTCTTGTACAAATTACACTTTGTTTCAGACTTTTATTCTATAAGCAATTTAGAAAGATAATAAGCAGTAAACGCTTGTTAGTAGTTTTCACACAGCACTTGGCAACATCTTGTTAGCAGCATTCCTATTTTTTAGTCATTTCAGTTTTGTTTCAGTCGTTCACCAAGTGTACATGTATGATTTCAAGTTGTGTGTCTAGAACCATTTGAGCTTGGAATTTTGAGCATTTCTTGTAATGATGGGTCTGATTCCTGATATGGTCACTGTCTTTTATTGCTAGAGTCCTTTTTCCGTCCTGTAACAGGGAAGCTTTATTTATATTTGACAGACTGAGTATTTTATTCTCGTCGTTGTGGGTTCGAATCTCTACTAGGTAGGCAAATTGCATGGTGTCCATTTTTTTTTATTGCCAGTCAGTAATTACTGTTGCTTCTTAAAAGGTACATGTATGAAATCTGGTGCCGGCATGGTTTTATTGGTTGAACCTTCACAATCCTCACGCAGGCATGCACAATGCTACCAGTGAGTAAGTACATCATAGTCCTAAATTCACACTACACCGGTACATTTGCATTCTGCACGACATCACACAGCATTCCATATAAGTTGTTGTTTACCAGTGGGCCTTAGCATTGTGTGGTGTTTTGTTGAACGAAATCATTGGAATTTGTAATTTTTGCCTTTTTTTTTTACTCTTGTGGACCGAAAAGTTTAGATTTTTTTTACCGAAAGGGTAATTATTCAGCTCGGTTAACTATCAGCATCCAGACTTCAACCGGTCTTAAACAGAGTGTTTAATACCTTCCAATCACACATTTATTCCTTTATTTAAGGATTCTATACATTTTGCAATTGTACAAGTTGTTAATATGTCGGATATCAGCCTAGGGGAGCTGCAGTTTTCCTGAAGTCTTTTTTTTATTATTTGTATAAAACTCCAAAGAATCCATAAAAATGCTGTAAGTTACAAAATCAAAAAATTAAAATGTGGAAAGGTCATGAAACAGGGAACATTTTTAGCCACGGGATTTTTAAACAACCAAATCTAAAATACCGGAATATTTTCAAAATATCTTTCTTGCTTCAACTTTATTTCTGAGAAGGTGCATCTAATTTATTTCAATATCCAATTGCCAATTTATTTGCAAAATCACAATTTCAGCATCCTGTAACCAGGCATTGTGTTTATTATTTATTTAAAATATCTACCGGTACCACCATGGTTTATTGCCTAGCAATATGGCAACTTGGGCAGCACTGGTAACCTTGAGATGTACATTGTACGTGTAATAATGTTGCTATGCATTTTGCCATAATAAAAAACAGGAAAAGATGCTATACATTTTGCAAATGCACTAGTGGGTAATGGTGGGGGAGTGTGCCACCTTCAAGAAAATGCCCAGATATCAGCCTAGGGGAGTTCCAGTTTTCCTGAAGTTGCTTGTATTTTTTAATAAAACTCCAAAGGATCCATACAAATGCTGGAAGTTACAAAATAAAAAAAAATAAAATGTGGAAAGGTCATGGAAAAGGGAACACTTTTAGCCAAGGGATTTGACCCAAATTTAAAATACCGGTATATTAAAAAAGATCTGTCTTGCTTCAACTTTATTTTCGAATTAGATAATTGATTTCAACATCCAATTACCAATTTATTTGCCACATCAGAACTTCAGCATCCTGTATCTCAGCATTTTGTTATTATTATTATTACTTTTATCATTTTATATAGCGAATAAAAACAATACAATACAAGATAACACATTATGCATAACATAGCATAAAATAGACTAATACAGAACCTAAGACGAAACCGTATGACTGCAGAGGAACAGCAAAAGGAAAAAAAAATAAAGGGGAAAAAAATATTCACCATGGTCCTCAGACTGTCTGACACACATGTACATGTAATGCTATGACTGGTACCATCTTCCAACATAGGGGGCGCTCTTCAAAACCAATGATTATATGCTAAATATGCATTATGTGCCTTTTTCAGGCCGTATTGTATGGGTTTTGGGACTTGATTTTTATATTCCTCGTTTATATCAAAAATATCTATACCATTATTGGGATATGGTTACTTCTAAGAAATAGTAAGATACTTTAAGGGCATTTTTGTTGTATCTTGAGGGGGCACTTTACTGTTCGAGGGGGCACATTTATGGCTGCAAAAGGGGCACTTGGGAAAATCTGGGGGGGGGGGGGCAAAAGCCCCCCCGGTTCCGCCGCCCCTGCCAC